ATTGTAATCAGAGAAACAGTTCTGTAGTGATTCCTATGGGATTTCATTTTTAGCACTTCTGTATAGTTTGAATATTTTACAAGGAGATTGTGCTTCTTCTATAATCAAAACCAAAAGGCAGGCAGGCAGAACACTACCTGTGGGTCAAGCCCTTGGTCATGTTCCCAGTCTGAGGAGACACTGGGGAGTTCCCAGGTGGGGCTGTGTCTCAGTAACCAGGACAGGGAAGCTGTGGTTCTCATGCAACAAGCAACTGAGCTGCATTTTATTTGTCACGCCCTTTCCAAACCTGTGACTTTTTATGGGACACATAGAATGTCTCTAGTTAATACAGCAAGTCATCTTAGAAAATTTGACAGAAGACTTAACGCCTTAATTCCATGAAGGCAGGAGTGGGAGCACTAATTACTTAATTTAAAGAAGGTGTAGTGAGCATTCCGGTCAGTTAGGGTGAGCACTTAGCAAGGATCCTCCTCTCCTTCATGGGGTGGCTCCGGGAGGAGCTTGCCTGGTCTGCACTGACAGCCAGCGCTGTCCAGGCCTCCACCAGTGGGGCCCAGCCTGCGCTTCCTCTCCTCAGGGGCGAGCTCCTGGGCTGTGTACTTTTCTTTTTTAATAATATTTTATTGTGTTTTTGGTGAAAGTTTACACGGCAAATTAGGTTCCCTTTTAACAATTTCTATACATATTGTTCAGTTACATTTTTCACAGTGTGTCAACATTCTCATTATTTCCCTTCTGGTTGTTCCCATTTCCATTTCTCAGGCCGTTTACAGATTTGATGGGTTTCCTTAAACAAACAGGTTCCCGTGGCTGATTCAGCCTTACCAGTTTTCTGCTTTTGGCCGTGGTACCACGGATTTCTAGTCCTTTCTTTCTTTCCTACTATGACCACCCTCCTCGTCGTCTTCCTCCCCTCCCCCTCCCTCTTCCTTTCCCTTCCTCGCCCATCCCCCCTTCCTTCCTTCTTTTCTTTCCATCTCTTCTTCTCTCCCCTCCCGCTCTCTTCTTTTTCTCCTCCTCCTCTCTTTATTAATTTAACATTTTAATTTTTAAATTATCAACTATTTTCAACACACTCAAAGTATAGTAAGTAACATCTCAGACACCCATGTCGCCATCACCCGGAGTGATAAACCCGGAGACGCTCCCAGTTCTCACAGTTGACCAGTCGCATCTCCTTGGAGTGCTGTCTGCTCCTGGCTTCCAGGACATCCCTGTTCTGTGTTTCCTTCCCCCTTGCTGGCCTCTTCTTCTCAGAATCCTTTTCTGAGTTCTCCTTATCATCCCTTTCCCTCACTACCACCTCTGAGCATGGAGACCTTGGGCTCAGGCCCCTTCTCTGCTCTGTCCACACTCACTCCCCCAGGGAGCCCCTCCACCTCACGCCTTACACACCGTCTCTGTGATAATGACTTCCTGTCTTCTGAGCCTCACACTCACATCCCAGCTGCTGCTCTAATAGGCATTTCAGGTGGGCCCTTCAATGCTGAGCTGCCTGTCTTCCTACCCTCAGACTTGCTTTCTTGTAGTCTGACCCAACCCAGCTAATTGCAGCTCCGTCCCTCTCGGTATTCAGGCCAGAAACTTGGGGGCTGCCCTGGATTTTACTCTTGCCCACATACCGCACTGCTGATCCACCAGAAGTCTCATTGGTGCCACCTTCCAATGGACCAATCCCTCTGGCTCCATCGCCTCTCTCACCTGGTCACCTCATCTTACCTGACCTGTTTAGGGCCCCCTCACTGGTCTCCCTGTGTCTGCCCTTGCCCCTGCGTGCTCAGCTTGGCTCCCCGGCTCTCCCCCTCTCTCGGACCTGCAGGACCCTGGCTGGCCTGGCTCCTTGATATGTCCAGACTTTGTGTCTTACTTCTCCCCCACCGTATTCGCCTCTGCAGCCACCGTAGCCCCCGTGCTGCTCCTGGGCTGCCCAGAAGGCTCCTCTCATCCTTGCACAAGCCCCTCTCTCACCTCCAGGTCTTCCCTCAAAGGTCACCTCCTGGCCACCCTGGCTAGCATGTCAGCCCCTTCTCCTGGCTTTACAGCCCCCCTCTCCTGCTTACTGTTTTGGATCTCAATCTTTACCACCACCTTATTAAACGAATAATTTCGTAAATAAGAATCAACACAAAGCTGGCTCCTAGAAGGCGGAGGCAAAGTGTACCTCTACTGTCCAGCTTCTCCATTGTCTCAGTCACTAGCTGTTCCCTCCTGAGTTTGGTAATTCACTGCAATGTCACACAGAACTCACACTATACTTATGGTTACGTGGTTTATTAGGGTAAAGGATACAACTCAGAGGTAACAGGGTAGGATACAGTAATTCAGAAGCAACATGAAGAGGCACTCGGGGAGGTTTGGAAAGGACCCCAGCACGGAGAGCACGTCCCTCCCCAGGACGCTGTCCCTTAGGAAGCTTCGTTGGGTCTGCATGTTCCTGGCTTTTAGCAGCCTTCCATGCACTCATTACTGGCTACGGGGGGGGCTCCTTCCCAGACGGGTTACTCCGCATTAGCACAAGTCCTCAGGTGCGGTCAGTGTAGCCCAGCCAACCTAAGGGTCTTTTCACAGGGGCTAGGGACAAAGGCCAACTGCTTGAGGTAAAGTCACTCTTAACCCTACTCTTATATACTGTGTTGTTGTTGTTGTTAGGTGCTGTTGAGTCGGTTCCGACCCCTAGTGACCCAATGTACAACAGAACAAAACACCACCCAGTCCTGTGCCATCTTCACAGTTGTTATGCCTGAGCCCATTGTTGCAGCCACTGTGTCAGTCCATCTCATTGAGGGTCTTCCTCTCTTTTGCTGACCCTCTGCTTTACCAAGCATGATGTCCTTCTCCAGGGACTGATCCCTCCCGATAACATGTCCAAAGTATGTGAGACCTAGTCTCACCATCTGTGCTCTAAGAAGCATTCTAGTTGTACTTCTTCCAAGACAGACCTGCCTGTTCGTTCTTTTGGCAGTCCACGGTATATTCAATGTTCTTCACCAACACCGCAATTCAAAGGCGTGAATTCTTCTTTAGTCTTACTTATTCATCATGTAGCTTTCACACTCATGTAAGGTGATTGAAAACACCATGGCTTGGGTCAGGTGCACCTTAGTCTTCAAGGTGACATCTTTGCTTTTTAATACTTTAAATAGGTCTTTTGCAGCAGATTGGTTCAATGCAGTGCATCCTTTGATTTCTTGACTGCTGCTTCCATGAACGTTGATTGTGGGTCCAAGTAAAATGAAATCCTTGACAACTTCAATCTTTTCTCCATTTATCATGATGTTGCTTATTGGTCCTGTTGTGAGGATTTTTGTTTTCTTTATGTTGAGGTGTAATCCATACTATATTATAGGTATAATCTGTGATATACTATAGATTCTGCTTATTCATTTTGTTTTGTGTCTGTCTCCCGCACTGGAGTATAAACTGTGAAGGCAGGGGATTTTGTTTTCTTCACTGATGAGCAATGCCTGGCTAATAGCAGTTGCTCAGGAAATGTTTGTTAAAGGAATGAATGAATGGGTTTAATAGACGGGGACATTTGGGCATATTCACTTCAGAGCATTCTCTCACCCCCTCTCTGCCTCTCTCTCTGGCTTTAAAAGAGATACATGTAGCTTGAAAGCAACATCATGGAATGCTTTATGTACAAACTATCGAATGGGAAACTAATTTGCTCTGTAAACTTTCACCTAATGCACACTTAAAAAAAAAAAAAAAGAAGTGCAACATAGCGTTGGCAGCTTCTTCCCCCAGCCCTGCCCTCTCCCTCCGTCCCCAGGAGGGACGTCCCTACTTGCATGTTTTATGTGTTTTATACTCGTACTGCAAAATGCACGCATCCACAAACGAGAGAGGGTTTTGTTCTGTGTGTTTAAAACTTAAGTGGCGTCATACTGTGTATATATGCAGCTTGTCTTAGGTGCTTAGTGTTAATTTTTACTGTTTGAGTATGTTAACCCTATAGATCTAGTCCATTCATTCTATTTACTTTCTTTTTCTATTAAAGTTGTGTTTGTGCGTGGCCTTAAAAAGCCCAGAGCACTACAAAGCTTACAGCGACAAGCGTGCCTCCCTGCCCTAGGCCTCCCTACCGTGAATTCCCATCCACTTTGAAGGCTCTTTGCCTTCTCGAGGTTAATCCCCTGAGCCACCCGCCTGGGGGTGGACAAGAGTGTCTCTCCTTCATGTAGTGGCATCAGGCCGGGGTCTAGCATCACTGAGCACTATGAGTGCCCGTCCCGGGACCAGCCTCGGACTCATCTCTCTGGCCTTTTCCCCAGTTGTGTGGTGGTCCGGCAGAGTGTCCTGGGGGAGCTGGTGACGACTGAAGGCAGCCCCCTCCCCCACATGGCCCTTGCTTCCCGTTTCCTGTCGTCCTGGCTGGCCTAGTGTACAGTTCTATTTTCAGGGCTTAAGAACACATTCCAAAGTTCACTGAGTGTGCATGGGGCTTTCTCCCACGAGCCTCATCTCCGTGAGAAGAAGCCGGGGTGGAACAAGGGACAGGGCCTTTGCTCCAGGAAAGGAGATGGCTTGTTCCGGGCAGACGTTTGTTCTCTGCTGTCAACTCGGGGCGGCAGGCCTAAGGCAGACCTGTGGATAGGCCTGGCCCTGGGTGATGTCCACACAGGGCTCAAAATGCCTTCTCCGAGGACAGTGTGGGGGCTGAAGAGAGATGAGATAGGACCATAGATGTTGACAGCAGGCTCCCTGGGGGTGAGCAGGCAGGGTGCGGACGCAGGGGCGGGTAGGTGAGTGCCAGGACCCAGGACATGCTGTTTCTCCTGCACCCCAGAAAGATTTTAGGGACAAGGTCCCCTCGGCTGGCCAGCCCACACCCTTACATTTCTATGAGGAAAAGTTTAGCCTCTAGATATGGCTTTGATTGTCAGATAATGGAAACCTATCTCCACCTTGAGGCTGTTCCCTGGGCGGGGCTGTGCTGAGCCCAGGGATCGGGCCCTCTGTGATATGGGGCTGTCTCTGTGTTTGCCTCGTAGGTATGGGACGCTGTGGACTCGGGGCACTGCCTGCAGACCTACACCCTGCACACTGAGGCGGTGCGGGCCGCCCGCTGGTCTCCGTGTGGCCAGCGCATCCTCAGCGGTGGCTTCGACTTTGCCCTGCACTTCACGGACCTTGAAACAGGTGTGCTTTTCTGTCATGACCCAGAGGGCCCCTGCCCCGAGAGCTGGCGGCTGGCGTCAGCCATGTAGGGAAGCTCTCTGCTGGGCCCGCACCCCAAGCTGCCAGGGGCCTAGGACGGGCTGCTGGCCCTGCCCGGCGAGCGGGCCTCCAGGGGGTCTGCCTGTTGGCACCACAGCATGTCACAGAGGGTTCCAGCGGGCTCTGCCAGCCCGCCCAAGGACAGAGCCCCAAGGTTGTCTCAGCCCCAAGCTGTGGGGCTGGATAAAGAGGTAGCTTTTTAATCAACTTCTGACATGTAATTTGTAGTGAAATAGATTTAACTTTATCAGCGTGTCCTTTGGTTGGAATCGGTTTAGAATTCCTGTCAATTCATTATGTTCGAAAGGCTGTAAGGAATGATTCCAGCTCAAGAGGAGAGTCTTGAGATGGGTTCTGCTTTAGTACCCACACTGCAGGCATTTGGGGAAGATGGATTTGTGTGGAGAAATCCTAAGGGGGCCTCCACAAGCAGGCGACAAGGAGAGAGGAGTCAGGGCGGGGAACGTGGCTCTGAGCCTCCCGTGCAACAGGCACTGTCTGCCCATGCTCATCGCCCCCGGGCATCAGTCCTGCCCGCGGGTCACAGGTGGGGACAGAGCTGGGGAGGGGCGGAGCTGGGGCTCAAACCCAGGCCCCCGACTCTCAGCCCTGGGCTCTTCTCACCCCTATGTTGTCTTCTGCTCCTCTGGAGCGCCATTGCCAGGAGGCCCATGGTGGGGCCAGGAGGAGAAGCCGGGTTCACACCAGCTGCCAGGGCTTCCCTCATGCCCTCTGTGCCTCCTGCCCAGCTGGGCCTCGAGGTGGTGGCACTGGAGCCTGTGTCTCTCCCAGCAGGAAGGAGATGAGATTCCAGGTCCCACCTGTGCAGCTCTGCCCTGGTACTCCGAGGAGGCACAGGGGGGACGTGCGGTGGTTTGGGGTCATGGGGTGGGGGCTGGTTTCCCACCTCGACTGTCCCGCTCTCCCTCCAGGCCGCAGGAGACGGCCTCACAGCTCCTGTGACCGAGCTTCGTGCTCTGTCAGCAGGGATGGTTGTGTCAGCGGCCCCCGGTCGTGGGGCCTGCTGGGAGCCTGACACTGTCCACCAGCTGTGCACACGGCAGACATGGCCGCTCCCCACGGCAGCCTGCGGCAGTGGTACTTCTCCCCATCTGGCAGATGAGGAGGTGGAAGCTTCCTGCTCGGGACCACATAGCAGCAAGTGGTGGAGCAGGGACGGTGCGTGGCTGCAGGGCCCACGCGCCCCCAGAGTTGGGGTGTGGCCCGTCTCTTCCCTGCTGGTTTGTGGTCTCACTGTCCTTCTCAACGCCTATGAGCCCCGCAGGACAGATGGGGGCGCCAGGCTCAGGGAGTGTGGTGCCATTTGATGACGGTGAGATGGGTGACGGTGATGGCAGCTTCTCTGATGACTGAGCACCTGCAACATGCTAGGTGCGCTTCTGCACACAGCCTCCCGTCCAGGCCCCACGCGCCCTGCAGCCTCAGCCTCCCGTCCAGGCCCCACGCGCCCTGCAGCCTCAGCCTCCCATCCAGGCCCCACGCGCCCTGCAGCCTCAGTCGCCCTTCCAGGTCCCACTCACCCTGCAGCCTCTTGTCCCGGCTCCACGCACCCTCTGAGGTGGGTTCTGCCGGTACTCCTGATTCACACACAGCTCTGGGGCCTGGATCAGTAACCAGCCAGGGTCTACCCCGAGTCAGCTGGGCCCCAAACGCCCTCCGAGGTGGGTTCTGCTGGTACCCACAATTCACACATGGCCCTGAGGCGTGGACCAGTAACGGGCAAGGCTCCAAAGCCGGCTGACCACTGCACTCTACTACTTGTGTGTCCAATGAGCTGTGCTCGGTTCTGGGGGCGCAGAGGTGGACAAGACCGGAGTCCTGGAGAAGCTCATGTCTGCTGGGGACCGACATGCAGAGCAAATTCCATACATTGTAATGTGGTGATGGAGCAAGATAAGGAGCTGTGAGACTGTCTCGCCAGCAGTTCCCAGGGTGGGGCACGTAGCCCGCCCCGTTCCTCACTGTAGGGCCACTCCACGGAGTGAAGAAGTGACACGCACTCACACCTGTGCCCTCGAGGCTTCGGATATGGGTGGTGCTGTTGGTTCATCAAATACAAATTCATCTGATGACATTTCTGGATTCCTCGTGGCCTTTTGTCATCTGTCTTCTCAGTCACAGATGTCAGACCCACAAATGCTGGTGTGAGTGTGAGCATGTATGTGTGTGTGTCTATGTGTGTTTGATCATATATGTGTGAGCATGTGTGTCTGTGTGTCTATGTATTTGTGTGTGTCTGTGTGTTTGTATCTGTGTGAGCATGTGTGTCTGTGTGTCTGTATTTGTGTGTGTATAAGTGCGTGTGTATGTGTGAGAGTGTGATGTGTATGTATGTGAGGCTGTATGTGTGTGAGTGTACGTGCGTGTGTGTATGTGATTATGTATGTATATGAGCGTGTATGTGAGTGTGTGTGTGAATGGGTGTGTAGGTGTGTGTGAATGTGTATGTGTGTGATTGTGTGTATGAGTGTGCATGTATGTGTGTGTGAGTATATGTCTTATGAAGGTATAGATGTGTATGAGTGTGCATGTACGTGTGTGTGTATATGTGAGCATGTATATATGAGTGTGTGTGGGTGTGTGTGTGTGTGTCTGTGTGTGAGTATGGGTGTGTACATGAGCATGTATGTGTGTGTTACGAGTGTGAATGTGCATGGAAGGGTGTGTGTGTGAGTGTAAGCGTGTGTGAGACTGCGTGGGAACGTGTGGGGATGTGAGAGTGAGTGTAAGTGGGTGTGTGAGTGTATGTATGTGTGTGTGAGACTGAGTGTGAGTCGATGTGAGTTGCGAATATATATGTGTGTATGTAAGAATGTGTGAGACTGAGTGTGAGTAGGTGTGAGTATGTGTCTGAGTGAGACTGTGAGATGTGGGTGTTAGTGTGTGAGTGGGACTGTGACTGAGGGTATGTGTGTGTGAGTGTGAGTGTGAGACTGGGAGTGGGAGTGTGTAAGTGTATGAGACAGTTGTGAGAGCATGAGTGTGATTGTGAGGTGTGTGTGTGTGAGACTGTGTGTGAGTGAGAGTGTGTGTGAGACTGCGTGTGAAGGTGTGAGTGTGTTGTGAGTGTGAGTGTGTGTGGGCCTGAAATGGTGCCGAGTGAGGCTACCGCCTCAGGTTGCAGTAGAGGGCGCTGTGGAGCTGGAAGCAGAAGGAAGGGCTGACTTGGGCTCCAGGCCGGTCAGCGGTAGCTGCAGTGGAGGAAAGGTCGGAGTTGGGGAAACTGGCACCCTGAGAGGATGAGGCCAGGACGAGGGGCTGGGGGAGGTGGGGTGGGCTGCTTGCCTGGTCTCTGGTAGGCTGTGGCTGGAGGGCAGCTTGTCCTCTGCTGAGAGGTGCCGGGTGGTGCAGAGGGCCAGGCAGCCGCCGTCCCCCAGGGCTTTGCCCCCCAGCTGGGGGGTGATTGAGGATGTCTCCACTCTGCCCTGCTGGGAATGGTGTACACCACCTGGTTCCCCTGCCCGCGGCCCAGTTTCATTCATTCAGCAGTTACTTATTGAGCACTGACTTGTGTACGTGACCTGGTGCTGGGTGTCCTTTGCCCCCAGGGAGGGTCTGGTCGAGGGCTTGGACCTCACCCTCAGAGGGGCCCTCCTGGCCTGCAGGCGGGGCTTCTTCCAGGGATGGTGTTGGCTTCCCTGTCTGTCTCCCTGGTGAGCGTGGGGGCTCCTTGAGGGTGGGCCTGTCCCAGTGGACTATGTGTCTCCATCACCTGGCCAGGCCGGCTGGAAGCAGCCCTCAGTGCGTGTGAACGGGACAGAGCCGAGCTGGAAGTGAAACCCGCAAGGGGCGGTGGTGGGAGAGGCCCCACTCTGTCCCCACCTCATCGGCTCACCCACTCCAGGACGTGGGGCTCCCTAGGTCCCAGCACAGGCCTTGGTGTGCACTCTCACCAAGGTTGGGTGGGCGTGGGCAGCTCCCTGCTTCCGGCCGCTTTGACTGATCTCATCCTTTCGCTTCACCGAGCCTGATCTCCCTTCTAGTTGATCTGCGTTTTCTGCCCTTGGTGATTGGGCTTTTTCATTTCAATCTGATTAGAACTCCCTGCCAGCAGCTCAGGGTATTAGTCACTCGGTGCCCATCACCATTAATGGGGACTGGGCGCCAAGGCCATTTATCCTGGTGTCCTCAATCAATACAGTTAAAAATCTGAGGATTCTAAAACGTCAATACACAGCCTGGAATATGGAGGGCCAGCCATGTTTTATCTCCGTAATTTATAGTTCTGACGGGGTGTTGGCTTATAGAACAGCTATGAATCAACACTTAAGTAAAATCTGCTTGCAGATTAATTATTTTCGGAGCCCCTGTTTCAGTCTGTAATCTTCCTAACGAAACTTCCCTGGTGTGTTTGGCTGAGGTGGCCTCAGGGACCGTGCCAGCTGTGGTGCCTGCTTTGTGAGTCAGCCGCCCAGCAGACCAAACCCGTCTCCTCAAAATCCCCCCCGCCCACGTCGTTCTAAGCAGCCCTGGTCGTGTTTCTCCAGATCCCAGCCCACGTCATTCTAAGCAGCTCTGGTCGTGTTTCTCCAGATCCCAGCCCCCATTAGGGGCCCTGCCCGGTAGTGGTAGGGCTGCCCCGTCCCCTCTGTGGGGGATGGGGGGATGGAGGCCTCTGTGCCCTGGAGCCCTGGCCGGGCAGGGTACCCTGTCCCCTTCCTCTGCCACGGGCAGAGCTTGAGGTGTCTGTGATGACCCCCGACCCCCGTCCTGGCCTCTGGGGGTGATCGGAGGAGCAGGGACGGAGCAGGGTGCAGTGCAGGCTCCATGCCACCTCACTGGGTGGTCTTGGGCGAGCCCCTCACCTTTGTCGCGCCCCCTTGGCAGTGGGCTGCAGTGCCTGACTGTGGGGTGTTGAGGGGAGCAGCTGGGGCGTGCATGTCGCGGCCCCTGCAGAGGCC